CTTCTCATTATAGATCTATGAAAGGTGGAAGAAATAACTCTTTTCTACTTGACCTAAGCGTGAATGTTGTAATTGCCCACCTTGAGTACCATTGAATAGCCTTGCAGCTCCAAACTCTGGCTTCTTCCTGCTTGTGGGAGACCTTTGTTGGGGAAGGTTTAGCTGGCCCAGATTGTTTCATATCTGGCATTCCTCTGTTTTCTGAGGGCCACAGCAACGCGAGGCCGGGTACAGCTAGTCATTTATAAACTTGAGGACCATCTGGATTTTTTTGTAGATTGAAGGCAAATGGGGAAAAATAATTGTGCTGTTCACTTGCATTGACTTTTCACCGACCTATAACTAACTATTGGAACAAAAATCTGCTCGTCCCCCCCCCCCCCAAAAAAAAGAAAAGAAATGACTACTTTCCATTCTGAAGACTGAATGTTTTTCTCCCTGACCATTTTAGATGCCATGAACCTGGACTGTTACTTAAAAATCCCTCTGCTTTGAACTAAATGAGTTATGAGCAATGTTATTCTGGCTTCGTTAAAAGTCGTGTAGACAGACAGAAAAATAATAGCAGCGTCATGACCAGATACCCAGCTGTATTGGTAGCTTCAAGCGCCACTTGCTATTAAGGGCTTTGCTTGAAAGGAGATTATACCAGAAAGATTTATTTTATAAGCCTTATTTTCAACAGTCTAGGCCTACTTCCTGTAGGCTAATCTTGTCTAAAACGAAAGAGGGAAGGGAGCAACATCAAATAGACCAAATAGTATGTTTCTAATTCTGGTTATGAAAACTGACCATATTTGTTGTCTGTCCTTTGTGGCGGTGATTATGCAAGCAAGAGATGCATAATAAAAGTACAACGTTAATGTGGAATAGGATACAGCTGGAACAATTATTTCTTCATCTTTTCCACACAGTTCATAAAATCCAAGGATCCTTTGACACTATACAATTATAATGTAATGATTCCACTTTAATTGCCTTAGCAACATCCTATGGGTTGTAGGGTAACTTTTTTGAGTTCAGCTCTATGTTCTGTCAGCAACCTTTGAATTATCACGTTTATAGTTTGATGAGATACCAGGAACTGTTTGGATGAGAATTCAAAGCACTGAAAACTCCCTAAACGGCAAATCTCAGGATTCCATAGGATGTTGTCATGGTAGTTGAACTGGAATCATTGTGATATGCAGTACCTATATAATTTGAAAGACCCTCAAAAGTCTTCCTACTTTTGATGGTCGCAACTATATTCTCCACTACTGCTTGATCCTTTCAGTCCCCCCTTCCTTATGTCAAAACCAATATCTTTAAAGTTATTGCACTTTTTATTAATGTACTTTTTTATTTTAAAACTAATTTTAAAATTAATTTACTGTGTTCTTATATGTAATTACTTATGTATTATTTATATGTAATGGCATCAAATTGTGCCAGATGTAAGCCGCTCTGAGTCGTTGAGAAGGGGATTGAAATAAATAAAATAATAAATGTTTGAAATAAATAAAATAATAAATAAATCTTCCATCTCCTGTGCCAAAGCCAGTATCTTCAGTTGGTTTTGTGAGATCTGGGAATACAGTGATTTGTAAAGGGATTCTTGTCAGTCAGGCATGGGTCCAGAGCTTGGAAAAGTTACTTTTGTAAGTGCAAATCTGTAGCCCCATTTACACTACCTTATTATTCTGTTTGAAACTGCATTGTATGGTCAGTATGGACTCAAATAATGCAGTAAGATTGAATTATGAGTCTTCACTATGCATGGGCAAACTTTTTTGCCTTGGGTCCGCATTGTGGGCTCGGTAGGGAACGTGCTGGGTGGGATGGGCATGTGTCATCCACAGGTTGCCCTCCTGGCATAAGGATGGGAATGCTTGCCCCATCCTTATGCTAGGAGGAAATCGAGACATGTGGTGACTGCCCCAATCCTCGTCCCCCAATCTTCGGACTGTCCTCTCAGCCTTATGCCAGGAGGAGGGCAAGACACGTGGTGGCCGATAGCCAACACATGGGCTCTCAGCTGCTACGTGCCTTTCTCCCCTGTCCTTTCTGCACAGGGATGTGTTGGCTATTGCATCCTTATGCCTCGATGACAGGTAAAAGGTGGAGGGCCTGAGGTAAATGCCCAGGGGATCGCATCCGGGCCCCAGACCTTAGTTTACCGATGCCTGGTCTACACTGACCATAACCTTATTAGCACTAGAAAGTTCATAGGAGGTAGCATCAACTTGGGTGATGGCTTTTCTTTCTTCTTTCTCCCCTCCCACCTATCCTGGCAGCTTTTGAACCAAAAGAGTTTACCAGAAAACGTTTTGCTTATAGTAGCCCTCCTTCTTGCTGGGACAGTTATACAAATCTTTGAGAACATATCCACACATGGATAGTCTTGTTTTGCTGCTGTTTCTTCATCACTGGTTGGGATTGCTTATGGGAATGGAGAAGTAACTGTGATAAGTGGTCCTGTTCTGCTTGACAAAGTCTGGGAAAGGGCTACAAAAATAAAAGCTCGTTTTACTTCTGTTGTACTTTCTTTGGGGCATAGGAGTGTCTTATTTATCTATAAAAAAGAATTAGAAGAATGTCTAGCATACACCTCGGGTTGGGTTCTCCATGAGAATGGAGAAAGTGTGTTGCTTCAAGGTGGTAGAATGAGAAGTTAGCTTATCATCTCCAGTGTTCCCCAAGAGGGATTTCCAAGTGTACTTTTGCCATGATCTTTATAATTTTTATTTTTTAAAACAGTGTTTATTGAATTTTAAACATACCTAGGCAAAAAGGACAAAGAAAAAAAATT